CGGTCACACCAGAACTTACTGCAACAACCATCCGAGCCAAACCATCCAATATAAGACCCGTACAAGCTTTCCAGTCTAAATGTCTCAGACAAATAACTGGAGCCCCATTATATATGATCAATGACGCATTACATAAGGATCTACAAATCCCAACAGTCGACGAAATAGCAACTCGACAATACAAAAAGTTCCACTCCAAACTCCACTCAAACCAAAACCCTCTAACTTCCCTCATGTCCTCTATAACCATCTCCAACAACCCTCCGATGAGGTTAAAAAAAAAATGGCAAAGAGACGCTCTAGCCTAAAAAAAAAAAAAAAAAACGGTCTCCATAACTACATAATATATGAACTCACAAAACTAAATGGGATGTATTGTTTATGGACGGGTTTCCCTCCTCAAGACATCAAGTCATTATATTCTTATTACCCATTTTATCAAATTTACTTATTGTGCAAATTTTATAGATTGTAAATATGCCTTTTAAATAATAAWAAAAAAAAAATTTWAATATAGATACTTTTTTTATATTTCTTTTAATTTATAGAAATGTTCTCCTTTTATTCGTCTTTTCATTTTTATCTTCTCGTTGACACCTTAACTGCTATAAATCACGAACAAACGTAAAACCAGGCATTTAGCCCACTGATTTATGAAAATCAGATTTCTTTTTTCGTACTTTATTTTATTGCCGGAAAACTACTTTTAAACACTTTTGTCTTATATTGTGTTTCACAATTATTTTTTAGAGATATTATTTTTAAATTGTTTTCATTGGTCTACATTGTATCCTTATCGTAATTCCCAATAGGTAAAGCCCGGTTAACAACTCAATAATTTCATGATATGTCTGGAATTTAAAAAAACAGATTTACATAACACAACAGGACTTTTAAAGAACTCTAATTATTTTAATGATATAATATAATATTGTGTTAGTAAATATTGTTAAAGATGATATATGCTATCTAGTGTGTAACAAATCATTTTTAATAAAATTAATTTATTATAATAATGCACAAAACTTAATATTACTTATTAGTTCTTATAATTAAAACTTTTGTTTAAACTTATTTCGCAGTTTGATACAAATTATAACTATAATAATAATAATAATAGTATTATGACTTGAGAATGAAAATTTCTTAAGACTATTAAACTGTATACTAACTATTAGCGAGAGCTGCTTTTAGTATATTTTTAAGACAATATTTTATTATTACTAACTTGTTATTATATAGTACTTATTCAAATAATAAAATTAAAACAAATATACATCTAGTTAATTATATTAATACGTTTTTACAAATAATTTAATACTATATATATATATTTTTTTTTTACAATTTCAACTAAAAAATATTCAAACATTGTTAATAAACGTAGCATAAATAAATCGTGCATTAAGAGTTAAGACATAAGGATCAGAATCATATTGTTTATTTTTTTGAGAAGCCATATTATTAAACTTTAATAACAGTAGCTTACTGTATTTATTATTCACTGTAACCAATTTAAGTAAAAGTTRATTAAATAGACTAAACATTTAAAGTAAATTTCTTGCAACAAAAAATTATTTGATAATTTAAAAACATGTTATTACGTTTTAAAATAATAAACAACAATTTATTGTTTTACGGCTAATATTATATTTTGTGACGCAATCCTGAATTTCATAATTAACAAAAATCCAACCTTAATTGATTCAATACTTAAATCAGATCGATAATTCCATACAATGAATGATAAAGAATTTTTKTAAAAATGTAAATAAATAACTTTCTGGATATATTTTAAAACATTTACTCTTTTTAAACATGCACAAATTACGAATTGTGTCTACACGTTATATTATGATCTTCGCACAGTCCTTRAACTAATAGGCAAACTATATAAAGCCAGTGGAATTGGATGGGTTGGCGGTTGCTTATTGAGTCACTATCTATAACGAAAACGTTGAAATCCAACATGAGACAAGTTACCGGTAATACTTAATACAAGTATATTCAAAATTCGTTTGAAACTTGTAAGAAATATTCATGAATAATGATTTATTGCGTATGTACGTATATTGTTTTTGTTTTTAACAATGCAAAATCTGGTGTGGCCTACGCACTGAGCAGAAGTATAAAACAACATGATCAGAATTACTCACGTCCACCGCGAAAACTACCAACATACTCCGTCTAGAATTTATAGTTCTATATTTATATATTACAACTAACAAAAAACACTGATTTTATCATACTCAAAGGAATTAAGTTCAAGATTGAACGCAGAGATCACAGTTTTTCCATTTATAATAAAGATAGTATTGCAAATCATTTCACCGCAAAACTTCAACTG